AATCTAGTAAATACTGAAAAATGATTATAACCTTGATCGTTACTCTAGTTTTCGAGGTGTAAAATGACATTTCGACGTCACAGACGGAATTACAGAATGGACAAACAAACAAACAGACAGACAGACAGAAAATTAGATAAGACTCGTTTCGCCTTTCTTAGGCTATGAAACATAAAAAAATAACCAAAAACTGCATGATTCTAAGCAATGTACAGACAAAACTGTAATTTTATTTATATAGATGAGTACTCATAAGGTTAACATGGGAAACTCCAGAGCCACTGGGGCGGAGCCCTTTTGACGGATCTGCACCAAACTTCACACAAACCATCCTTGAATGAATAATGCTTAATAATGCCTGAAAGTTTCATTACAATCTTTCGAGCGGTTTCGGAGTCCGTAAAGGACAAACAAACAAATAAACATACATTGGATTTTATATATATGGATATGCATATGTACATTACATTGAACTGAATCAATTATTTCTAAACTACAATAATAAATCAAATAATAAACTATGATATTAATCAATAATAACAAAAAAATATAAAATAGTATAAAATAGTTCTATGCAATGAATAAGAATATAAGAATATGATAGTGCAATCATATAAGAATAAGAATCTTTATCATCCTTTATAGTATATTACATTACTAGTCCTGAAAATAAGTGTTTACAGGACGAGTGTGGTCGTTCCTGTTCAAGACGAAGTCGAGTACGTGATTACCATACGAGTCCGGTAAACACATTTTGGACGAGTTACGTACGCCATACTACAATGACGTAGTTTACGCCATACTACTAAATCTGTACAAATCCTTATATATTACAACCAACTAAAGGACTAAAAATGCAGTATAATCAGCTGATTGGTGTCCGGTAAAACTCATTACAGTACAGTAGTTCGTAATGAAACCCCATTTGATTAAGCTGGCGGAAAACAGCTGTTTTCTGGACTAAATCCCTGCATGGGAAGTTCGACAAAATGTGTAGTGTGGCGTAAAACATTTTACAGTGCAGTAGGGTTCGTGCAATATGTTCCTTATACATTCTTTAAAAGAGTAAAGTACACTTCCAATAAGATAGATAAGTTAAGTTTACTAAGTTTTTTAGTTTTCTTATAAATGCATTTCTAATTATCTCTTTCTTTATTTCGTTAGGAATTTCCTTAATGTTTATGTTATCAGAAAATAATGAATTTTTTAATTCTAATTTTTGCTCTTGTATATACAAATTTTGGTACTTTCCTGTTAAAGGGAACATTCATTATTATCGATGATTTTTTTCTCGATATATCGATATTTTTGTTGTTCTTTACAATCCATTACAAATTGACAACTGATCTTGTTTAGGATAAAATAGTCTATTATATGAATTAAGAAATGAAACTGTTCTAAGCTAACCTAACATAACCAACCAAACTTGCTGTACCATTTAAAAATTCTGTTTGATAACAGAAAAGGCAAATGGAGAATATTAAACCGTTTTAATTGTTACAGAAAGTTTGTTTGGTTGATACTAAACAATATTTATTTATCGTAGTTGTCAGCTGATAGGTTTCAATCTGTTAATATCGGTAAATCGAGACAAAAATCATCGATAATAATGAATGTTCCCTTTAACAGGAAAGTACCAAAATTTCTATTTCTTGTTGGGTATTGGTGTCGTGAGCTGTTTTCAGTCTTGTTTTCCTCGGCGGTCATAAATGTATCAAAAATGTGTTGTCCAAATCTTTTAAAATTCCTTAACAACTAACAACATAGTTTACAATATGTTCATACCAGTCTAAATTTTTGTCTGTTACTAACCCCAAAAAGCTTGATATTATTTACCTTATTTATTTCTTGATTTCTTGATTGAGTTTATTTTGTTTGGTTGTGAAGTGAATAAAGGTTTTTTTTTAGATCGACCAAGGAATATATATTTTTGTAAAGACTGTGTTATGGAGACTGAATTAACAAAAGAAGAGACTTCCAATAAATTTGTAGTGTCGGCTGTGGTAATTAAGTTCACATCATTTGCCAAGAGGCACAAGTGATGTGATTCTTCTGCAATCTCTCCAGAAAGCCTCTTCTTATAGCGCCAAAATAACAAAGGGACAGGTATAGAATTCATAGATTCCTGAGGGACACCAAATATTATCTTTCTTAAGAATGATGCAGCTTTGGACCTCACTGAATTATTTAAATGATCTATTCGTACAAACTGTAGTCGGTATTGTAGGTAGGATTGGAACCACTTCAAGGTTCTTCCCTTCATACCTATCTGTTCCAGCATATTTAACAATTTTGGATGTGCAACACTATCAAACGCTTAAGTAAACTCTAAAAGTATCCTAACAATTTTCTTTTAGCGAATTTCCCATAGGGAATAAGCTATTACCATAGTACTCTATTAATTTAGTCATATTTAAATATAACTATCTACATTAATTATATTTAAATAGGGAATAAAATGTGATATTTTTAAGGCAACATTTTAATGTAAATCCAATCAGGCAGATGGAAATTCGCTAAGTCTGCAGGTTTGCTGCGGCGGGGGTATTATATATATTGTAAAGGGGCGCTACTATTAGTTGTGCCTAGGGCACTGACATTGTCAAAAACGGGCCTGAGTGAGTGATTTTGCGACTATTCCTTGATCATATTTATGAATCTTGGCTGTCCTAAAAATTAAGTTAACCACACTAAAGTCCGTATTTTCTTTTTTGCTATAATATTTAGAAATAAATGGCTATTTCATATGTTTCATTTAGTAACAATTACTCCTAAAAATAGGGGCACAAACATTTTTTCATATTTATATTTTGCATTTTTTATCCTTCTAAGTACCATACTTTTTTATGATAAAATAGTTATAAAAACCTAATTATTTGTGCTGAATCATAATATGCATATATTTAGCTGCACAAAAATATACAACATGGTATAGTTATTTTACAAAGTAGATTTGTTACATTTTTTTATAAATATTACTGCAAAATGCCCAAAAATTGACTGACACCACACAAAAAATGACTGACAGCAGGAGGTATATATATATACATATATACAGGGTGTTTTTAAAAGAATGCCGGGATTTAAAACGGTCGTTGCTCGGGGACTATTCAAGGATAATTCAACGATTTGAACGTCAAATTGAAGGGAAAATAATAAAGTTTTTTTCTCATTCTTTCATACGATTCGGAATGATTTAATAAAATTCAGATTTTCATCAATCATATATGAGCGTAAAACTGGCAAAGCCTGTACGCTTAGGGCAATCGGCGGGTTTGTCTGATGTCTTAACTGAATCTTTTTGGCACACATCATAAAGTGACCAATTTAGGTTTGTTAAACTGAAGACTTCGTCGAGCAATAGATTTTTTCCGGCCTTTGTTGCAGAATTGTCGGATTTCTTTGACTATGTCATCGCTTGTTTTTAGCCGGCCAGGCGAATGTCTTTTCAAAACACTAAGGTGCCATTAAACTCATTAAACTAGCTTCAAGTTTCTTTATCGTCAAGTAAATTTAAATTTAGTTTAATTTAGCAATGGATATAAAAGTCGCGAACTACAGATTACAATCTGTGCATTCTGCTGCGCCGTAAACGTCGTACTGGCGACTGGCGTCAGGCGTATGAGTCACAATAGCGACCTATAACCCCGCACCTGTTTTACGCATGCCAAGGTCAAAGTATCCTCCCTTGCCACACGGGTTACAAAACTTCAATTTGACGTATACAACGTTTAGTTACCTTGAATAGTATCCAAGCAATTACCATTTAAAATCCCGGCATTCTTTTAAAAACACCCTGTATATACAGGGTTAGTAAAAAGTGTGGAGACCCCCTGTTATTTTTTTCGGCCCATACTAGAAAAACTAAACTCGGCACACCTTTATGACATGTTATGAAGTACTTTTTGGGCATAACCGTCACTTAGTGTACATCCCTAAAATGGGGGATTTTTGAGAAAACTCAAAAATTTCAAATACAAAGACCCATCGAGTGACCCCTCATTTTAAAGGTCCTGGTAAAAGAAAACCAACAACGCAAACTAGAGGTCTTTATCTCAATCCAGTAAAAAATGGCAGCCAATTGAAATTCTCAGCTGTTGTCATAAATTAAAAAAATAATAGTGCTGCACCCTGTTGGTAATCCTTGTAACTTTAATGCTATTGAACATCATAGAACAGAACCAACTTGTTTAATTGAAACAGCTGTTAAGATTCATTAACTCCTTTTAAATATGAAAAATCATAAGGTTAACATGGGAAACTCCAGAGCCACTGGGGCGGAGCCCGAAAGCCCGATCAGAATAAAAACTACCTTGTTTTCCTATTTAATGCCCAAAGAATCCGTGTACCGAATTTCAGCCTCCTAGGTAAATGGGAAGTGGGAGAATTAGTGATGAGTGAGTGAGTGTGTCATTGAGTCAGTGAGGGCTTTGCCTTTTATAAGTATATATATAATATATATATATAAGTGTGTGTTTGTGTGTCGGTTACCACGATAACTCGAGCAAAAATGATCCGATTTTGATGAAATTTTGTATAAACGTGTAAACCAACATCTATTTGAACGAGTTTGCAAACCAGCATGATTGTACTATGGGAATGGGGATTTATGGGGGTTTTATGAGTTAAAAATTGGTTTTTCCCATTTTTGACCCAAGAACATAAAATTTAGAAATTTCTTTTCAAATCATTTTGTGGAGCTTAAAAAAAAATAATAATTTAGTATGACATTTTATTGTAAATCCAATCAGGCAAATGGAAATTCAGTTAGTCTACAGGTTTGCTGTAGCGGGGTATTTTTCTATGCTTTTAACTTTGAATTTGAATGATAGAATTTAAGGCCGCATGTCTGTTGTTTTAGTCCCAACCCAACCATCAAACTATTCTGTTCAGTGAATCATTCTGTTAAGGCTGTATAATGAGGTTAGGTAAGGTTGTGTAATGAGCACAGTTACAGAAAATATGAATATTTAAATTAAAATGAAAACATTATGTTTCAGTGCAAGAAGCATCATAAAAGCTTTTGTGAAAGATAGAGAATACAATGTTGTCAACTACTTCTACCCGCTCCATTCATCAGTAGCAACTTTCTTGTGGTAAGTTTGAGTTTGACTGATGTTGGGCTGGGGGTGTAATGTTTCAAAATCAAGACTATTCAAGTTTTTTTCTACTACAGTCCAACCTCGGTATAACAAATCTGAAGGGACCGAACTGAATATTCGTTATATCAAGGATTTTGTTAAAACGAGGTTCCTTATATTGAGGTTAGGTTTGCAGGAATTTCGCTAAGTCGAGGTTCAGAACCAGCATCGGTCAATATAGGTTGGGATTTGACCTCATTAAAACACTACCAAAGTAGTATAGGCTACAATACTTTACAGTGCAGTGTTTACATTGTAAAGTAGAACCTCAATTATGGGGGGTAATAAGGGGGAGGAATCTATACTTATTTAATACGCAAGCATGATTTTTGTGACAATTACTCCTCCGAAACTACTGAACCGATTGACATGTTTTTGGTGTCATTGGAAAGAGCATAACGTGAAGTTGTGCAGGAAACCTTCTTTTTAAGGAAATAATTAGAGAGTGAGGCCCTGGGGCCCTTTAAAGTTTCGTATTTCTCCATAAGGATAACAAGGGAGATAATTTTTATTTACAGAAACATATGTTTGTTACTTGAAAATAGTCAAAGTCTACTACATAATAATTGTTGTGTATTATGACTGTTAATGTATACTACATTTCAATCAAGGATTGTGTGCCTTAAACTTTACTCATAATGGATTTCACTACTTCATTTTCATGCTGGGAATTGTAAAATTTAGTTGAGAATAAGTTGCCATATTTAGAAAACTTTACTATAATAATTTATGTATTTAAAATCACAAATCTTTGACATTATTAATTCATTAGAAACGAAACAGCTGATCGAGAAATCAAACAAATCATCTACTTCATGTGAATCATGTTTTTACACAAACATAGTTTTTTTTAACCAATGACTTGATTCTTTTTTACTTGTGGGTGTATTTTGAGTTTGCAGTTATGAAAGCACCAAGCCAAGTACCTTTTAATGGCACAAGGCTTCATGTGATCAGAACGGTTAACAACAATGTAAAGTAGAATGTAAAGTCCTAACATGGAACAAGTGAGTAAGGACATATTTTGATTTCGAGGATAAAAAAGCTGACTTGGTTGAAGTTCGTTTTAAAATAACGCCTGTAATACTTAGCAATTGCTCGAATTCGAGCAACAGGGACACCAGTCTTTAATATTGTGCAATCATGACATTTCTAGTCATTGACCTTGGTACAGTTTACAAACTGTAAGTTTAAAATCACAGCTTACTCTAACCTACCAAAAACCTAGCCAAACACTGTATTGTACAGCAATACACCACGTAAAGAACAAAACAAAACAGTAGAGAGTTTTGTAAGCTACTTATCTTGTTAGGCCAGTAGGCTAACTAACAGTACTAGTTTATCACAACAGAGGAATGTCAATAATAATCATCAACTATAGCGTTGGTGTTGCCTTAGTTAAAAAATTGTATTGAAAACAATAAAAATATTAGATAAGTCATTATAAAAGTGTATAATAATAGCCAACTTAAAGATAATAAAAATACTTCTAAAAGGAATGTTAAGATAACGATGTTGATATTCTTTCTCTCTGCTTTCGTTCTTAAGTTCTTTCTTAAGTTTCTCTTCATCCAAAAAAGTCACCACAGTCACTTATCACCCAATCACAGCTTACTTAACATTACGTCATCATCAGTCCTCAGTGAATTATATCAGTTCTCAGTTGCCACATAGCGCGCAGCGACAGCAGACAGAGATGTGTAAAACGGAGGAGACGAATTAGGCACAAGCATTGATGTCATCAATGCTTGAAATGTACACAACATGAGGTTAACAGTGTCACCTTTCCATTTCATTTGGTAATGAAACTGATTTTTAAAAACGACAAAAACAATAATGGGAGGGGGGGGTTTGTTATATTGAGGGAAAGACGCAGACAATTCGTTAAGTAGAGGTTAAATTCACTATGTAGAGGTTTTGCCAATGATAAATTTGTTATATTGAGGTGTCTTATTTTAGCCGGGATCATGAAAAATTTGTTAAATCAAGGTTGTTGACATGGTTTGTTTGTTATATAAAGGTAAAATATACATTGAGTTCTAGAGGATTAAAAAAAATTTGTTATATCGTGGAATTTGTTATACAGTAGGTCCTCAATATCTCGAAGCTGAAGGGGTCATGATAAAAATTAGAGTTATCAAGTTTTTCAAGTTATTGAGGTTCGAGTTATGAAGGTTCCATATGAAAAAGTTCGAAATACTGAGGTGTTGGTGTCTGACAGTGATGTTACGTCACGGCCTTTATAACTAAACTTTTACGTATTAAACCTTTAATAAATCGAACTCAAACTGTATTCAAACGTACTGAATAGTAACTTTGGAAGCAAAATAAAACAATTTATACTACACTCCTGCTTTTGTTTTACAAATACTCCTCCTGAACGGTTGAAGCGATCTGCACGAAATTTAACACAGTCATAGTACCCAACCATATAAATCTGAAATGGTACAAATCGGACCATAGGACTTTTTCCTAAAGAATGCAAACTTTTAGAAATTTAACATGGGCCTTATGGGTTGATTGGTCGCCATGACATTATTTGCGAGTTAACACTAAAAAGTAAACAAGAGCCTCGACATATGTTAGTCAACAGATCTACCACATTATAAATACAGTACAAAATAAAAAATCTGATAAATAATAAAGAGCATATTAGTCTATTGCATGTACAGTAGAACCTCTTTAATCCGAACCCCAGTAATCCGAATGTCCACTAATCCAAACACCTCATTGCTGTACTTTATACATAGTACAGTAGTTCTATATTGTATACTGTATTTAATGTACAGTACTGTTTATTCCCTATACTGCATTAAATAAACACTGTATTTTACTTTATAAAGCATTTTTTAACTTTTCCCGTAACAATTACGATCCATTTTAGCCTTGTTTTAGCTATTGTTATGTAAAGACAACAATATGTTCTGTAATCCGAACTATTCAATAGTCCGAACTACCCCCGGTCCCAATTAGTTCGGATTAAAGAGGTTCTACTCAGGGTGTCTAGTAGTCGGGAAAGTCGGGAATTAGTATTGAATTTCAAAATGGTCTTGAAAAGTCGGGATTTAGTCTTAAATTTTATTTCAAAGTCGGGAATTTTCATGATTGCGGTTGTGTGACTGGCTTTTTGATCGGTTGTGCGATTTTTCTTGATAGTAGCATTGTTTGCTAAGGGATCCTGCTCGATTGATGTTTATTTTGCTACTGTAATTACGTGGGCTTAAATGTGGACCAGAATCCCCAACCCTGGTTTGCCATCGGGTCAACTCACACAAGGCTGCTACTGATCAACTGTCATAGCCTAGATCTGGTCTGGTCACTGGTTTCCGACACACCAATTCCTGTCGTCTGTTGTCCGTTGTTGTTGAGTCCACTCCACTCCAACTAACAAAGCTGTAAATACCAAACCAACTGAGCCTTAGAAAAAGGGGGAACGTATAGCCAAAAAGAAACCACTGCCTTTTTGATATCGTCTTCGTAAAGTTTTGAGTACTATATGAAAGAAACTTATTGTTGAACTCTTGGCTCACCGAGTTATTTATTACCTGGGGGTGAATTGAGTAGCCTCCGTTCGGGTAAACACTGCCAAGCGCCCAGCTTCAAGACATTTTGATTTCGATTTATTCCACTGAATTTTCAACTTTCTTGTTATAGTTACGCCCAGGGCATTTCAGCAAAACACAATGTCGCATTCATGCCCGGTTTGTGTAAAAACTGTTGAGGATGAGGGAGTTGGATGTGAGGGCCCCTGTGAACGATGGTTTCACCGAGACTGCATCAAGATGAATAAAACTGAGTACCAGAAATTATGTGCAAATAAAAATGAAAAATGGTATTGCAAGAGGACTGATTGTCTTGGTTCCGGAGACCAGCCCCTGTCACTACTCTCGACTCAAATGAACTCTGTGTTATCCAAACTCGATAGCCTTCTGAACAAGGTTGAAAAGATTGATAGCATCTCAACCGATATTGTGTTGATCAAATCCGAGGTTGCTGCAATGAGCAATACGTTAACTGCCCTGGAGCCTCGTGTGTCGAAGGTAGAGGATAAAGTGCAAGCTCTTGAAGAAAAAGTTTCGACTTCAAATAACTTAAGGGGTGCAGATTGCCTTGAAAGCGCTATAGCTGAGATGAATGAGAGAGCTTATCGTGCCAAAAATATTATGATCTATAAACTGGTGGAATCCACAAGCCAAGATATCACCACAAAAAAACACCATGACCTGGACCTTGTGACCTTTCTTATCCGTAATACTCATGCCTCCGCAAACATCACCAATATAAAAACTTTTAGAGTCGGGAAAAAATCCTCTGGAAAAGCTAGGCCCTTAAAGGTGGTTCTCAACAATGAAGCTGATGTCCGTGAGATTATTAGACTCTTCTCGTCAGACAAATTATCCGAAGTGGATAATCGTTTTTTGGAAGTGAGGGTTTCCAGGGACCGTACCCCAAGAGAGACGGAGTACTTCCAGACACTGAAATTGGAACTGGAATCTCGTACTGCTAGAGGAGAAAAAGACCTAAAAATAGTGTATAAAAACAATGTCCCTAGTATTGTCAAACAGTTGCCAAAAAACGGGGAAAAGTCAACTTCCCTTCAAAACGACTAAAGTGTTACTACCAAAACGTTAATGGGTTGAGGAGTAAGATGGCTGATCTCTCTACAAATGCCTTGGTTAGTATTTATGATATAATAGCTCTTACTGAAACCAACCTCACCCCTGATATAAGCGACTCTGAGCTTGGCCTTTCTGGCTTCTCAATATTTAGATGTGACAGATCTAACTGGACCAGTGATAAAACAAGCGGAGGTGGTGTTCTACTTGCTGTACATAGTTCAATATCCTGTAATCAAATCAATTTATCAGCATACAACAATGAACAAGTTTATGTTCTTTGCAGTATCGGTAACACCAAATTTCTTCTGGGAAATGTTTATATTCCGCCCGGTAGAC